AGTTGGATGTAACTGTGTGAAGGAAGAAATCACCATGGAAGCAGAATAGAGAGGGACTTTGTAGGCATTATTGTCACCTTTCAAGTCTCAGCTGGCCCTCACATCCCCCATCTTTTCTCTCCCCATTCCCCACTGAGGGGAATTCTTTTTCTCCTCTGGAGGAAGCTTCCTTTCTCAGTTCTTCCTGATTTTTTCTCTGTGCCATTCCTTTAAGGACTTAGGTTTTTGGACACCAAAACCAGGAAGCCAGAGTCCCTACTTTCCGGCTGTATGTGGTGACTTTGGAACGTGGGGAAAGATATAGTACTGAAAAGGGTTAAAAATTTCAAATCATTTCTCATCACTGATTTTGAAACATGAGAAAGAACTAAGTATAATTTGAATGCTACTTTTCTAATTTAAGCTTTTTTTTCATCAAATGCAGAATTTTTAAAGTTGAAATCCTTCAAATAAATGATAAAGTTAGAACAACATATGAATAGTAATTTTTCTTGAGTGTCAGGAATTATAAACAATATTTATTCTTTCTTTGTATTTCCCTGTATTTTATACATTTTCTGTATTACACTAAAAGGTATATCATTTTTAAAAAATACAGTCATTTATGTTAAATGAAACAAACAGATTGCTTTGACAACGTTGCTTTAAGTGGAGAGATTTAATTTATAAAAAATATTCTAGGTGAACCTATAAGAGTTCAAACAATGATTCCATTGAAGAAAATTCAGTACTAGTTGTTTTTTAAGCACAGTTGGATGAGGAAGGGTTATTTTCTGGCTACATTTCAGTATATGACAATAGCCAACCAACTTTATTCCTATTTTCTTACAGTAGAAACAACTTATAGTGCTCTGGTCAGATATTTATTACTATGTTGCATTTGACTCACAAATTGGCAAGAATGTTCAGAACAGGTAAATACAAGGCAAATACACTTGTTGATGTTTTGACTGACAATGCATTGCTGGAAGAATCCTTCCATTATACTTAGATCTTAACTGTGCTGTTTCCAGCTTTCACGGTCAATACCAAGCAGCAGGCTGAGACTGTGGAAGAAAGCAAAAGCTGTATTTGTTTTTCAGCTTTAGTAGGCATAGTTTAAGTGGGTAGAGTTCAGGAGATGTAAATTCCTGCTGGATGCAATAATGCAATGATCCATAGGTCTCAAGTAGCATTGCTCAAGTGTTGACTTACTTGATAATACTTTAAAAATCACATTTTTCATTACTGGCCACAGGATTAAGTGGGTTTTATCTTACAAGAAGATACACATAGAAGGTGTGGTGAGGAAATTTTGTCAAAATGTAATTTCCTGCTAGTAAATCTCGTGACAGGTGCATTGTGTGTCTGGGTTCAGAAGTTATTCCCCAGTGATCTAACTAGAGAGAGTCTATCACAGAACGTCACCACTTGATATTTGTGCAGTGTCTTCTCATAAGGAAACAATTTACTTTTGGGTATCTAGTTTATGAACGTTACAGATGAGCTCAAATGAGCTTCTGTATTCGTAAAACATGGAAGCAGTATTAGCTATATATGGTTGGTATCAATTGAGGTTGTGTTTATAAAGTGTATTAAATGTACATCTGAGAATTTCATCTTCTCTTGTGCTTATTACAATATTTATTATTACATTTGTAATTTGTCACTCACAAATGTTTGTTGAATTGAATGACTGAATGAACTTTTTAAAAACATATTTCTAGGGCTGGGGGTTGTGGCTCAGTGGTAGAGCACTTGCCCTAGCATGCATGAGACACTGGCTTCATTCCCAGGAACCACATAAAAATGAACAAATAAATAATGGTATTGTGTCCATCTATAAGCACAAAAATATTTTTTTAAAAAACATTTCTACATTACAACAATATATACACATAGATCTTAGCCTTTCTTGGGGGGCTTTATTCAAACTTACCCTGTCTTGATTGCAAGCATGTCAAAGCAGAGATGTGGGGAGATGAACTTAAGTCCCATAAAGGGTATGTTGAGGTCTGTTCCAAAAGTCAGACTTCCTGTCCCAGCTGACTCATCGGAGTAGCTGCTGTGAACAACTGTCTTTTTGGAACTTCAATTTTGGAGCCTTTAGCTCCAGATAATACCTCTCTGGGAACCATTACTCTGCTTCATCAGCTCCTTTATTCGCCATATTTGGCTCTCAAAGCTATTTGGCTGTCTCCAAAGATCAAATGTGCCCTCCAAGGGCTGAGACTGGCTGCTATAGAAACTATTCAAAAGAATATGCTCAAGACTGAGAGGGTAGTTGCAAAAAAAGAACTGGGGACTTGAGAAGGCATTCCCAGACTGCTGCCAACATGGCTGCATGACTGGAGTAAGGGTGCAGCTTCCAAGGTGGCTCCCACTGAGGGCTGGCTGTGGGCATTACCTGATGAGCATAGCTCCACTTTCACCAACACCCATGGGCAAACCACACCACAAAGACAGGCGGGTGTGAAATTCAGACTTTCCCTTTAGAATTTTCCAGGTGTTTTATTTATTTATTTATTTTAACCTACCTGTAGCGGTGTGTTCCTACACCCTGTCTGCATTGCCCCACTCTTTACCACCTGCTCTACTTTTTCATAGATTCCTAAGTTGATAGCACCCTTTGGTAGCTTTGTGGCTGAAGCATGGGTTGATCAGGATTTATGATATAGGCTTTTAAAAGTACTATGTTATAAGACTATAGAAGAAAGGTCTATGATGGATATTATATATCCTTTTGCATCTGCTCTGTGAACATATTTGTGGAAAGTTACAAGGATGAGTTCTGCCTGGTCCACAACAATAGATTTCAATACCCTGGAGGCCGTACTTTCCCCTGTCCTCTCAGGGCCCCAGATCTCTGCCTTGTGCAGATCTCTGTGCATGCAGGTTGGCACCGCATGTGTAATGAATGATAAATCGGGGTACAGTTTGTTCCTGTCCTGAGCTGTTCATTCAGCCCTTCTGGATGGGAGCCAGATAAGAAATGAAAAACATAGTGCATGCTCTTTGCTTTCCCCCCATTTTCTATTTGGCAAAATTTTGTGGTAAGTCCTTTAATATGGTGTGGCCTTCCTTGCCTAATATTAGTCCTGGAGCCGAGAAGCTGTGTTCAGCTGCACTAGAATGTTCTGGTAAGAACATTCTGATAGTCACTTGGAAGTTCATGAGAGACCTGGGCCTTCTTGTCTGGGGACTTGCACAGAGCCCCATCAGAGCTCCTGGAAGAAGGGAGCCTACCTTTCCCTTTTAGATGCCACATAAAGAAAATCCCATTTATTTGGGCAGTTAAAGGAATAAGCTTTCTATTTGTTTGTTTGCCTGCTTCTACTTTGGCACCTTCATGCCAAGTCTCTATTAGTAAATTAAATAATAGTCTGTTTACCTGATTTTCTAGAGGCAAAGTTAATATTTTTAAATAAACAGAAAGCTCCTAAACCTCGAGTCTTCATTTGGTAAACTTCAACTTATGTGAAACTATCATGTAAATAGTGAATGCTGATGGGTCTGACCCTTAATCACCCTTGAAGGGGGTGGGGGATGAAAATATTGGTCAACATTTAAATTTGTGAATTTTAGAAACTGCTGCTATCTGTGTAGCCTTTGTGGATCTTGATCATATCTCCAGGCCTATTCTTGTTGTCCCTATAATTAGATAAAGAGCTTATGGCTTGTCAGTCAAGGTTTTTCACCATCCATCCAGATCCATAGACTCTACTCACTGTGCCCTGTTCAGGTGCCTTGCTGTCCTGTGAAGCCGTGTACCCTTTAAGTGGCCCGTTCATGGCTGCCCTCTCATCCCCTGGGCCTTGTTTCATCACGTCTGTGGGAAGTGTACTGTGTCCTTGTCATTTGTTCAACTCACATCTCTTGCACACCTGAAGCTCTGGAAGATGCCATATAAAAGCAACCAAGACACAAACCCTGTTTCCACACACCCAATTATTTTTCTCGCAAAGCAAGCCGAGTGTGTCAGGGAGGTTCCTCCCTTTGATTCTTCGCTGGAAGTATTCTTTTTCTCCTGCATGCATCTAGAGCTTTTCCCCGCTGTGCATCTGTCATGAAATTCACCTGCCAGCTTAGCATTTTATCTATTTATGAATGGAAAGTGCCTGCTTTCTAGAAGGCAAAGTGTATAGCAGAATTCAACTTTGAATCCTCTATAGAACTTAATGTGGCCATTGACTCATTCAACAAGTATTTATGATCATCTACTCTGTGCTGAATGTTGCTCAGGGCACTCTATAAATATTGATATGTATAGGTAACTTTTGAATGCATGAAAAATATGAAGCTCCAAGGATTATCTATTATTATTCTTGAGAGCACAGATGCTTTATGAGTTTGAAAAAGGGTCTCGTCTCAGAAGGGGAATTATGGATAATGTCCCTTTGAGGTCTGCCTTCTTGAATTGCAGAGAAGTAATGCTTGCTTCTGCCTAAATATAACTTATTTCTATAAGACTTAAATCGGAATCCCTTTCTTTTCTTATTTAATAATTTACCATGTCTGTTTTGCATGGGTCTCCTTTGCATCTAAAATTCTTCTGTCAAACAATGTCACATTAAAAATTGATTCCAGATTTTGTAATGTTAAGCTCTGCAACTTCAGAAGCTAAAATTTGCAGTTGACTTTTAACCAAAAGAAGATTGAGCATAGATTGCCTGTAACCTGTTTACCATATTTTATCCACTAACTATGATGTGCATTTTTGCTTCAATCATAACACCAAAGAATCTTTTTGTTGTGGCTAACCCTCTGAAATGTCCAGATCATATTGATTTGTTTACTGATTTAATATTGACTACTTTTAGTTTGTGATTGCATCTTGCATCTTGAAAGAAAGAATAGTGAAATACAGTTTGTTGATTTTATTTAGGTACACAAGACTGTTTGTGCCTGTTACTTGGGCTTATCTGAGACTTCTCCCTTTTAGAAGGCAAGCCCCCTAGTTGGGATTGAGTGTGTGTTTTGAAATGCCTGTGCTAAACCAAGTCTTTCCTTTTCCCTTTCAGAATGAAGACCTAAACAACCTCAGCAAATCTTCCTCTAACTCATGGGTACCCAGACTCTAACTCTTTCATGATTCACAATCAGGACCTCACATCTTCCGCCTCTGTAGATGGTACGATGCATCCATTTCAGTTTGTTTACTTTATACAATCCTCAGGAGTTCGTTGACTGAACTGCACGTTCTATATTGTGCCAAGCAAAAAAGCACTGTGACACCAGAAGAATAGTCTGCGTGAACTTCATCTTGAACCTTAAGGACTTAGCTGGCCACAATGAGCTGATGTGCCCACTACCAGGCTGCGAGAGAATGGGTTTCCTCTCATTTACAAGATTTGTTTCATCTGCTGCTGAAACTGTGTTTGACAAAATGTCATTGTAAATTATTTCATTCAAAACTGTTCACATTGGGTGGAGAGAGTATTAAATATTTAACATAGGTTTTGATTTATATGTGTAATTTTTTTAATGAAAATGTAACTTTTCTTACAGCACATCTTTTTTTTTGGATGTGGAACTGAGGTATACAATGTTCTGTTGTAAAGAGTGGAGCAAATGCTTAAAACAAGGCTAACAAGAGTAGAATAGTGTATGATCCTTGTTTTAAGATTGTAATTCAGAAAAATAATATAATAAGAATCATAGTGCCATAGATGATTCTCAATTGTATAGTTATATTTGCTGATACTATCTCTTGTAATATAAACTTGATGTTGAGCTGAGTTCCTTAAAAGAATTAATCTTAATTTTGTATTTTTCCTGTAAGACAGTAGACCATGTTAATTAAACTGAAGAACAATATATACTACTTGGGTATTTTCAAGTGTCAGCTTAAAATTTATGATTGAATGGAAGCAAAATTATAAGAAAAGGAAATCAAAGTCTTCCATTGTATATATTGTAAAGAGAAGGAGACCTGGGTGATCCTTTCAAATCAAAAGCTCTCTTTGGAATGAACAATGTGGGTGTTTGTAAATTCTGGAAATGTCTTTCTATTCATAATAAACTAGAATCTGTTAATCTTTTCTTCTCTCCCCCTCCCCCAGTCCACTTCTGGAAGCTTCCTGCTCCATTCCCACCATTTTTTTTTCCTGTGCACATGTTATAATATTTCATTTCTTGCGTTGTATTGAGTATACTTAGACAAGTGAGTGCTTGCTAACCAGAAATTAAAATTCCAGAGTGGCTTTTTTTTTTTTTGAATCATGACCAGGGCTACATGTCAGTTTCCTTAAGACCCTGAGTTCACATGTTCTGAGAACTTCTGGTTTTACATTATTTAACTGAATGTAACTGGCCCATTTGCCCTGGTAGGTGCTGGCCTAGTAGTGATTAGTTTAATAAAAAAAAAAAAAAAAAAAACACAAAAAACAAAAATAAAAAACAGTGCACAGACAGCACATAAAAACATAATGACCTGCTATGGGAACATCTAGCCTGCAGTGAGAATTTTTAATCCTTTTCTTGTTTAGAAAGTATACACATCTTGGGATTTTTCCTTGTGAAACACAAATGGCAATGAGCACATTTAAAGATATTGCCTACAGAAGTTTTGAATCTTTTTGCCAGGAAACTTCCAAAAGTTAAGTGAATTCATGCAAATATCAGGCTCCCTCTGAGCCAGTGTGAAGTCTGTATCAGTGGTTGCCAGCCCTGCTGTTGGGAGGAGCAACAGTTTATTTCTGGGAAGGGTTGATCCTCCTGGGTGGAGCTACAAGGAAGGGCCAGGGTTGGAGGGCCTTGAAGTGGCTGCTGCTCTGATCAGCTGGTTGGAGAGCTCTGCTCTACTTAAAAGGGAGTGGAGATAAATGGCACCCCCACACTGCTGAGGCCCGTGTTACTGTTCATTCAACCAGATGGCATGTACCTCACAGACTATTGTACAATGTTCATCGTTGCAGATTTTAATCATTTGCATGCTCATCAATTTCTAAGATAAATAGGCCTATAGTCATAAGAATCCATTGTTTTCAAGGACCTTGCTGAATTACATCATTTCCTATTCATAGAGAACACCACCAACTTTGAAAATATCATAGGAAAGTTATTTTTTACTCCTTTGTAAAAAAGAAAGAAAAGACTTTCTCAGTCAAACTAACTTTTAATTTTTGACTCTTCTGATTCGTACTCTTGCTAGTGTAAGAAGAAAGCTAGCTATCCTGCTCTCTTCCGTTGAGCACTTAAGTAGTAAAAGAGAAATCAATGAACAAAGCTGCCTCAACTATTTTTCCTGCTAAGCTGGTTATTATTTCTCAAGGAACCCAGACTTTAAATATGTATTACCAAGATACCTCTGCATGTGGAATTATCAACATATTTTGGGTGAGAACAGAAACGAACAGACTGGAAAGTGCATCTCTTAGTTTCTATGGCTGACTTTTTGTTGATTCAAATAAAGGTAGAAATTCTTATTTAAGCTGCTTCCAGAGGTGCCTGAGCTGGGTTTGATGGCAGTATCAAACTTTACTGACTTAAAACTGGAAGTTGCTGGTACTCAAGCCAACGGCTCATGCTCTGGCTAACTCAAAGGGTTTTTCTTTGAGCACATCGGCTGCTAAGTCCATGTGTTTGGTTCCTATTTGAGAGAGTTGGCTTTTATCCATTTCAAAGTATTTGTCAGCCAGCCAAGGGCTTACGTTAATGGGGCTTCTAGTGGCCTCTGATTAACCTAGAAGTTAGTGGCTTTTTCTTCATGAGAACAACCTTTCACAGCGTTCTTTCTTAGATACAGGCAGAGTTATAAAATTCTCCTTTGTGAAAGGAACAAATGTTTTGTAGCTTTGATATCTTCATTCTGGGCAAAAGCATGTCCCTGGAACCAGTTAGAAGTAAGGGGAATCCATTAATGATCAACCACCTGAGTCAATAATGACAAATCAGTTCTGATGTTACATGTGTGGCTATTTCTTGCTAACTCTCAAAGGTCAGGGACTCTCTTGACTAATCTAGTGATGCAAAAATGGATTTACTCAGAATCATCTGGTCAGAAAGTAGAGATTTTTAACCTTTCTTTTCCCTGGCTTTTGTCTTTTGGGTATATTTTAAATGGGAGACAGAGTATTAAGAAACAGTTTTGTACTGTAAGAAACAGTGCTTTACAGTACTGAAGCCCTGTTTTATGCATTCTTGCATCCTGAATGCAATATGCCATGTAGCTGAAAACTTCAATTTTATTTACTATAGGCGGTTTAAAGGTGGGGAAGGAGGCTCACCACCCATTGACGCCAAGAGCCACAAAAATCAGTACAGAGAGAAGCACTGTGGCTGATCCCATATTCAGTCTCTCATTGGCTTTGTGGAGCTCTACAGGTCAGTCCATCATACAAGGAAGCCCTGAAACCAGACACTGAGAATTAAAGCCCTGATAGGGGAGAGAAGGATCCTTTGGGAGGCATGCAAAAGAGAATGGGTGGAAATCAAATATGAAATCACTTCTTTGTAGTGATTTGAGGGAGGGATAGTGTTCCCAGCACTTGGTGAATGTTAGTTGGAGGTGATGCTATATTCATGTATATAGGCTACTGAGAAACCTGAAGGAAGAAGCATGCCCTTCCAGGGATGTGAGGAATATCACCTTGCCAAGGCTAAGGAAAAGAGCTCCATCCAGACGGTAGATTTACTTATGAGGAGCAATGACAGCCTTTTAGTAGAATGTCCAGGGTTAAAGAGGGCCTTTGGTCATTTCTAAAGTCAAGCCTGGGAAGATCTTCAAGGTCTTGCCATAGCTCTGTAAACCAGACCCCTAGGTGTGGCTGCAGAACGTGTGGGTCTGGTGTGTGTTGGCTATTTCTCACTGCTTGTAACCAGAGCATCAAATTCGATGCTGCAAGGTTGAATGATATTGGGAGTGTTTGGCCCTACTCTTAAGAGATCTATCATTAATAAACAGCTTATAATTAGCTAGTATGATTAGAAAATGTATGACTTAGATGACAAGTTGTCTTCCTTTCCTAGCTTGTCGATGACTTGGCATTTGTGATGTATACACAAAGAGATCCGGTGTGTTAGCCTTTCACCATTCACCTGGCATTTAAATCTCTCTTTGCTCATGCTGTTCATTTACCAGTGTTACCCAATATGCCATGTGCTAGGACAAATTCACTACACAGGAAAGTGTCTAGATTTGTGTAGACATCTTTAGTGCTGATTTTTTTTTTTCCTTCTTTGCCATTGGCCTAAGAATGTAGTTCCCAGAACAATTTTTTCTTGCAAAATATTTTCCTTACACCTCTTGGCTACAGGGTGGGCCAAATCAACTACATATATATTTTCACTTACTGTGTGTGCAGTTTGGTTTATCATCCTAAGATGGTGGTGCTGCTCCTGGTGCTACTTCATCTGTGTACAAGAGACCAACACATGGTCTGTATTACTACCAAAACATTTATTGTATATATGTGTATAACATACGTATTATGTATATATGTCATGGGTACCAGGCCAGGTTTATATTTTTTATTTAGAAGTGTTTCACTTTTCCAAGTTTTCTTTATAGTGTTATGTTTATTTTCAATTTTTTTCCCCCTTGATTCTGTCTGGTACTTAGAACTGTAGTGTCTTCATCGTTAATTAAAGAAAACTGTCTAAATGAATTTCACGATGTCAATGTTAGTGATCCTTCCTGTCTTTTGATTATGGGACATGACACAGAAACTGGGCATTTGGCTGGGTTAGGAGCAGTGGATACCATTAATTTTGGAATTGATCTTTTTGCCTGACTCTATCTCTTCTCAGTTGGCTTTCAATGGCCAAGTGAATAAACAAAATGGCCTTGGGAAAGATTTTAAGGTGCTTTTATTGGTGGTGGTGATGAGGGAGAACAGAATAGGCAGGGAAAAAAAAATCCATCCTTGGTGGAAAGATTTGTGTTTAGTTTACAGACACTGCGACAGCCTCTTCAACCTTAAATGTGCACACAGATCTCTGGTTCAAATGCAGGTTGTCATTCCAGATATTGGGGCCAGACCTGAGAGAGAGCTTTTCTAACCCGTTCCCTGGCAAGGCCAAGGCAAGTGCTGCTGTCCTAACCTGATGGCAATTAGCTTTGGATACATATTAGTGTCATCTGGGCAGCTATTAAAAGACTCAGTGGCCAGGCCAACTCTGGGGATGCTGGTTTAACAGGTCCAGGGGTGGGTCCTGAACTTTAGTTGTTTCAGATGCACTTGATGCTCCCAGGGAGATTCTAGCAAGTGGTCAGGGCTGAGAACCATTGCTGCAAAGTGTTGCCTAAACTTCTCTGATTATTAGAGTTGCTTATTAGAAATACTGACACCTGGAGTGGTGTAGGAATGTGCACCTTTCAGCAGGCGACTCTTCTGGTAGGCAAGTTTGGGAGAGACTCATTTCTGTGGAAGTGGAGGTTTTAGATCATTTCACCAATAGAAGGAATAGCAACACCTGCAATTTTTGAAAATAATTTACCGTGTGCCTATACAGAAGCAGCCAGGATCTTCCTTTGCTCCTCTGAGCTTTCTTGCTTCAACAACTTAAAATGAAGATAATTGATAGGTCCTGGATAGTTAAAGGTAACTCAAAAGTTTTTTGACATTTTGGAAACATATTCAAGTTTTTTTTAATTTAATTTTTTATAAGCATGGTGTTGCACTGAAAGCAGACAGACTCACTTTCCTGTCCTTATTTGGGGCATCGGCTGGAGGACTCTTCCTTCTGCCTGCCAGTGTAAATAATATTTTCACTGTTTCGGAGCAGCATATGACCTGATTTAATAAATGCTAGAAGCTCTTTGGTGTTCCTTTTATATTACCTTTCTCCATTTATACTTAAAACAAGAACCACTGATTTTTCCCCTCCTACGGGTACTGCAAAGCGAACATGTATCCCCTATTGAAATGACATGTGAACATCACTAATTAGTATGAATTTGAGGGAGGTCTAGTTGGAATGAATTAATGGTGTAATTTTTAGCACAGCTGCTTATTACCTTTACAAATATATAAAAACAAACTATAGCAAGTAAAGTGCTGTCAATGAAGGACCTTTGAGAAATGCATAGCCAAGTAGAACTTGTAATTACCTCAGTGATTCTATTATAAATAGTAGCAACATTTATTCCACATTTATTCTAGGTTAGCCACCAGGATTTATGTCAATTATCTCATTTTATTCTTGTAGGTAACCCAGGGGTAGAGGAGGGGTGTGTCTGGTCACAGATTACTGAGGTGGAACAGTCTCTCACATTG